AAAGAGTGATAATTGAGACATTGCATTTTCATCAGGATGGATGCTTGTGATAACAGACTTCATATTCTCAATTTTGTCTCATCAGTGGAGCCAACCCAATTGGTCATTCTTTTGGGATTGAGTCCATTTCTGCACAATTGTCCATTTGTCAGATCATCAATAGTTTAATCATGGAACTTCTCTGGTAGTCAAACATACCTGACTTTACTGAAACCATGCTGTTTGAAATAATAATGATAGGCTTACACATGGCAGTTTTGCCCTTGAATAGTAGGCCTTAGCTTATTTTGAAGGGAATCACAGTTATGCACCCTTCCTTGAGTTACTGTAGTTTCAAGGTATTTGTAAGCTGATTAATACATGGATCAATTATGCAAAAACTATCATAATATATCCATCTGCATTTTTCTTGCTTTTGAATGTGTTGAAATTAAGCCTCTGTCAGAGATGGTGAATCATAAGTCTTCACATTCCTTCCAGGAATTTGAAAATGAATTATTCAAGTTGTTTAAATCACAAGCAATGATTTTGTTGAAATCTTGGCACTATTGACATGATTTAAATCATGATTGCAAGGTATCTTCATGTACACGAGTAACAAAGTGTTACATCCTCCTTCACATGAGTATTTTACTTTTACTTGTTTAACATGTAATTTGATTTCAAATGATTGTCAAATTGCAGAGCAAATTACTTACTTACCACCACCTGGCCACCTGACAAGTGAAAAAGTCACTTTTTTGAGTTTCATGTAAGCTACACGCAATTGGAACTGGTTCCCCACGCCTTGCTGTAACGATTTAGTCAGAAACCTACCACGTTTCCAAGTTATCGATCCTCTTAATGATGTTAAATATCTGGACGAGATTCTCCCATTATAACCACCTCGCCAGCAAATACAGTCCCAACCTGTTTAAATGCCACGCGTGGGTACACACCAGTTCCTCCTTTATGATTGCAGTAGTCCGCCCATGGACCTTCTCCATTAAAAAGAATGCAGCTCAAGACTAAAAATAATTTTAAAAGCACTTTTTCTTTTCTTATGGTTTGAATTTGCCAACCTCTGGGATGGCAATTGATTTCTTCAAAACTGTTGTTGGCCTATTATTAATGTTAGGATTGCTATATCAACCTTTGCTTCTACAGTTGAGTTTGAATTGGGAATCACTAAGTTACACTCTATTTCTTTTATTTCTCTGGGTGTAGTTAGTGTGAGAATCAAAGGAGACTTGAGATCAATGACTTGTGATCAGACTCGGTGAGAACGACATCCTGTCTCACTCCAGGGAATCCCGGCTCTCCTCCATCCGTCACTGGGCTCCTAAAGCCCTCAGTCGCATTGGCAATTTTCGCATCTCTCTCTTCTGCAAGCACCAACAGCCTGTGAGCATGCCTAGTTTCTTCTCTCTGCAATTATGTACGAAGATTCTTATGAATAATGTCGGAAGTGCTGAAGGGGGTGAGTTTCTTGTCACTATCAGGTCTAATTAGAGAGGAGTCACTGACACGGATGAGATCAGGTGGTGGCCCGATGATTGTTTGCATTCCTGACCCGGTCAAGTATCCCCGTGGTGCCAAATGTAGCTTACGCATTTGGCACTCAGAACCCCCCTGAAACTTTGCCAAATATGCGGCCTTCAACCCTTTTTTGCCATGCCACGTGGATATCAATAACATCCGTTTCTCTTTTCATGCGTCCAATGCTGCCAACACCTAACGAAGTTTACCCCCTCCCGGATGCGTTTTTGTGGAAGCTCCTTTGTTTTTATCTTCCTTTTCTCAGCTCAGGATATTCCAGGTCAAATTGCTGCTTATTTTTAGAAAGCCCTTTCGTCCCATCTCAGAAAGAATGCCAGAGACAGAGGAAACTGACTGACGTCAAGGATTACATTATCCATTCCTTCCCCTTTTAAGGAGAAGAGGAAGAGTGGCTTTCTTGGACTCTGTTCAACTATTTCCATCCTTCGCCCACACACAAACACGTATGCTCAGGAATAAGCTTCTCCCCATGAATATCGCCACGTGTCTAGGACATGCAATGGAGAGAGGGCGGGCTGGCTTTGTTTTCAAATGAAGTTCTTACATTTGGCATGTGGCCAGCAGAACCTGGCGCATCGTGAGAACCCCATTTGGAACTGACGCGAATTCCTCAAATGGAAGAAGGACTCAGCCAAGGCATCCTATCCTACCGGCTTGCCCCCTCTCCAGCCGGACGGAAATTGAGAATGAAAGTGAGGGGTCAGTCAGTTCCCTCCCTGACCATGCATCCCGATGTGGTAGGTTGAGGGGAAGAGGAGAGAGAGTGTTAGCCAACCCGAGACTAATAAGGGGGATATAAGGGATGAGGATAATAACCCGGCGGAGTGGGAGAGCCTTGGCCCCCGGGGGCGCACGCTTCGCTCTCCAGAGATTGCATCATAAGCAGAAGGAGAGAGAAGGTGAAATCGTGGGAATGGGATCGAGGGAGACAAAAAAAGAAAGGGCCCGCGAGACGAGAAGAGTGTGCGACGTCGTATGGTCGGTTTTAGAATTGGAGATAGGGAACGAGAAGGTTTAGGATGAAAAGGTGCGGGACTCAATTGCACCTCGTGGTCCTAGTTCCCTATTCCATCCCTCTCCTACCGGTCCCGGGCTCATTTCTACTTCATGTGAGTATATTCGCAATCTCCGCCCACGTTTTAATCATTGCATCTGTGTACCCCTTGTCCAGTTCTAGATCTGCCTTTCTCTCTGCCACTCACTCATGGTATATCCTTCACATTATTTCTGGGCACCACGCCTTCCGTAAAACCCCGCATGTGCAAGTATGTATCAAGAGATGGGGTGGGTGGAGATTCCAGGTTTCAAAACAGAGCATGTCACGTTTCATCACAGCATTTCATTAGAGTCACAATTGGAGTGAAAGCCTCCTGACATTTCTGTTAAATGAAACTAGTTATGTCTTTGTCTTCCTTGTGCAGATACACTGTATAAGCGTCTAGGATAGACAGAGTGGTTCATAAGTTGGTTTACTAAAGGATTTTTAGCCATACTATTTTCTTATTAAGCTAGGTTTTTTTTAAATGTTGTGTGATATTATTGCCTTTGTTATTAGCTATCATTATTGTTACTTACATATTTTCTTTTCATTCTAGGTGAAAATGGATAGACGCATGACCAGCGAATTTTTGTACTTGAAAAATTGTGAATGTCAGGAATACATTTTAAATTGGTGACTAGGATAAATATCCTGATGCAAAAGCACCAAGGCAGACAAGCAATTCACAAGCTTGGCTAGACGTTTGACCAAACAGGTTCTGTGAGTAATGCCCCAATGCCCCAAGAAGTGGTTGACACACCACAGCAAGAACTGAGGAGAACAGACAGCTTGTCTGAGAGTTTTGTCTGAAGTTCAAAGAAATATCAACGATGTGCATCATGTGAGCTTAACATCCCACGCACAAGCGTGTTCTTTGTTCTTGCTGTGGTGGGTCTTCCATTTCTTGGTGCATCATTCACAGAACCTATTTGATCAAATATATTGGCAAGCTTGTGAATTACTTGTCTGCCTTGGTGCTTTTGAATTAGGGAATTTATCATGGAAAGCTGCTGTCACCACTTAGAAAATTTTAGATGTTGGGAAGACATTTTTAAGTACAAAAAGCCACTGGTCTTTACTCATGCGTCTCTTCACCAAAAATGAAAGTAAAAACATTTAATGACAATAATCATAACTAATATTTAAAAAATTATTTTATGTAACGTTAATAACAATCCTAGGCTAATTAGAAATTAGTATAGCTGAAAATCCCTCGGTAAACTAACTTATGGGCCTTTCTGTATTTATATAAAAGCGATATGAAAGACTTGGCACCCCTCCCTTTGCCAGAGGACGACAATGATAGAAAACCGTTCAATAACTTGCATTGAACGCCCTAGACCTCATGTTTTATTTGCAATTTTTGCTGCTTCGATAATGATAGAAAACCGTTCAATAACTTGCATTGAACGCCCTAGACCTCATGTTTTATTTGCAATTTTTGCTGCTTCGATTTTCGCTCTTTGAGAAGTTGGGATATTCTGTGAAGCTTTCATTTTTCAGGATATCCTTGGTCTTGTCGTGTGACGACAAAGTTGTATCCCCAAAATTGAAGGGTGTTGAAGGAGCTCTTCGTCCAGCGTTTGTGCAGTCATTGGATAGAAAACATGCAATTGGTTGTACTGGGCGTCAAGACACCTTTTTCTCCCCCTATACAAAGAACACGACACAATGGAGGAATGCAGTGTTTTTATCACATAACTCCTTTCAAGAAGGAATCATTCCATTAATCAATCATTTGTATTTTGTTCCCCTGACTGCCATATAGCTCTTACTCTGCCGAACTCTACATTAACGTCATAATGACTAGTTCCAGTTCGCCTGAACCCATTCCTCTGACCTTCCTCTCTTGCTATTGTCTTGTTGATAAGAGTCAGTGCCGTGTCTCGTGGGGTGCCTCACGGAAGGCAATGGCGGGCGGGAATTCTGTCTCATGTCCTGATGTATTCACGACCACCAAACTTTTCAGCCATAACACTTAGATATCTGAAATTGGAGATTTAAATCCTTTATTAAGGAATTCAAAGGTACTACTCTTTAGCTGTACATGTCCTGGTCCAATGGTTAGGAGGGGGGGAGAAAAAGTTTTATTTTATTTTTTTTTTACGCCCTGTTGAGTGTGGATGACATCGGTTGAATACCTTTCATTTTTCATTTTCATCTCCGTTTCCAGCCTACTTTGGTTGCTCCATCTTCCATTTTCCTTCAGTTGTTTCCTCTTCTTTCTCTCTCTCTCTCTCTCTCCCACTTATAAAATGGTTCCCACGAGGGTGAAAGCGTACCGCCAGTCTCAAATCTCCTTGTCTTCCCATGTTCTGCTTTTCCTTTTTTGTTTTAGCATTTCGAGAGATGACAGGCAGAAATATGTTTTCCTGTTTTTTTGTCCCTAACATAGGAAGGGATGAGAGGGGGTGGAGATGGAATGTTTGGAGGGATCATGAGCCAGATGGCTCACATCACGGACTTTCTTTTCCTGAGTGGAGCCAGGGCGGTGACAGAGACGAACATCCGAGGGAAAGGGATCACGTGCATCGTGAATGCGACCCGGGAGCTACCTTGCCTTCCCTTATCCGACGTTGACTATCTGAAGATTCCCGTCGAGGACCTCCCCACCGCACCCATCTCTGACTACTTTCACGAGGTTCAGAACTCTCTTCACATGCTAACCACAAAGCATAAGTTTCTACATCTCCGTTGAGGGTTCGGAAAATGTCCACTAACCAACTAAGGTAGAGGTGGCATTTCGTAGATGGATGCTTATTTTTGGACGAGTTCGTGTTTTCTGCCATTCCAACAATCCTATGCCGGAGATTTACGTCCTTGACTGCTCGATATTTTGGGTTGCCTGCAAGCCTAAGTCAAGGATATGAATTACTGGGGTTGGTATGTTAGGATAGCAGAAAAGCGAAATCAGTCGCAAGTATTCGCCCGCCTATGAACTCAGGTTATGTTCGATATGAGTTATGACCGTAAGTTCGATATAATTCCCTTTCAATTCGCAGCACTTTCTCATCGACCCTCAGCCCAAGAATACTCATTTGCAGGTCCCTGAATCAATTGCTTTGATTGATTTGAAGCAATTGACAAATCAATTGCTTCGATATCATGTGAAATTTCCCTAATTGATTCTTTCATGGCAGGAAAGAGAAAAAAAAAAAGAAGCCCCATTGGAGCCAGGTTTTTCCTATCAAACCTCGTTAAAACGAATTCAAGGGGAATCGTCGATTCAGTTTTTTATTTTAATTTTAAAGCGTAATTCGTGTCAAAAGTGCAGTACTGATAAAAAGGGCTGTTGCATGCGTTTCCGTCAGAACTGAGTCATTGTTGCTTGAGATTTTTTTAAATGTTCCATGTTTGTTCCCATGCGTCAATTTTACCTCCCTCCACTGCCTCTTAGCCATCTAACTGTTTTTTTTTTAAAATATTATTTCAAATTAAATGTCAATTGTCACTCGCAGGTTTAGAGGCCTACGTGAATAGTTCCAGAAAACTCGAGAAATTCTTACTTTCGCTCCTGCTGCTCTGGGATGCTCTACTCCCCCACCCAATATTCTTTTGTGCATTTTGCGCTTCCATTCAATACAAGGGTGAGGTTCTGATCCCGCCACTCCAGCCCGAGAATCTCACTCGCAATCGCAGGAAGGAAATGGGACTTAACATGTCTGCGAATACGCGCGGACGTGTGGTTCTATTGAGAGCAATGATTATAGGACTGCAATGCGTGTAATGTGAATGGAGGTCTGTAGGCGCAAGACGTGCCCTTGGAAGCCGTTCAGACGCCAAAATGAATGAATGGGTGATTGAGATGTGCTTCGATGAGCGTCATCCTGAGTCATCTTGTTATTTACCGCAATTCGCAGATTCCGTTATGTTGGTATATCTAGGATACATGTATCGAGGCATAGGGAAAGATGCAAGCATGACCAGCGCAAGGTCGATCGATAGATGAAGGGAAAGACTAGGAAGAGGGGACTGACATTTGTGCTTGACAGATGCTCTCATTCCCACACTGGCTCTCATTGGCCCAAACTTGGAGTGTGGGCATTTGCCGAAACGGACGCAGGATCGAGTATGCATGCCAGTGCTGAATTGTGCACAAGACTCAGCAGGTCTAAGCCTGGCATCGCAATACGCTCAGCCTCAGTGACGTAGCCAGGGTGTCGCCAAAGGGGGAACAGAGGAGGAACTACAGTAGTAACCTCGGCCGGTGGGGGGGGGAGATGGTTGTTCAGTCCCCCTCCCTCTCTGTTGTTCTGCCACTGCTTTGCCTAAAGCCCTAAAGTTTTGAAAATGTGATGAAACCTAGTAAGAATGGAAGTGGTTTTTTTTTTCTTAACTATCTGGGGCTGCTCTATTTTTGCATGGAAAAAATTACAGAAGGGATCAATGGTTACTCAATGATCCAGAAAATACATCTCTTGAGAAAAAGTAGACATGGCTAAGTAGTATATTATGCAGGAAACTACAGGTTTCTCATTTTTACGCCTTATTTTATATATATATCTTTAGAATTTTCAGCCCTGCTTTTTAGCTGCACCCATCTTTGAATTCTTTTCCATTGAGCATGAGATCTAGTTGCCATCTTGTACTTCCTCTGGGTGCCAGTTCCTATGAGCTGGCGAAAGCAACTGTCTTCCACAAAACATCCTTTTATCATATTCCAATCACAAAACATTCTGTTAAGTTTTTTTTTGTAAGATCATGTACCATGTAGTCAATTTGAAAGAGAACAGGCATTCAGGGAGAGATGTTGGAGGCTGATTAATTAAGTTGTTATTAATTTCAGTTAGTTTTTAAAATCATGACACTTGATCCATTAATCGATTGATCTAGTCGACTTGGCAACCCTAATTTAATTCTGTTCTTATTCCCCTAAAAGCCTGTCATGGCAATTCTTCAGTCCTGGAAGCAAGTCTCACTTACACTAGCTTGCAGACTTCTGATTATTGTTTGGTAGATGTCATTCTAACCCAGCATAATTTGTAGCATTGGATAATATGGTAAAATATAACATGTTATATTTTGATATTCAGGTGTCAGACAAGATCTATGAAGTGAAGAAGAAAGGAGGTAAGACATTGGTGCACTGCATAGCTGGGGTTAGTCGAAGTGCATCTCTCTGTGTGGCTTACCTCATCAAATATGAAGGACTCACCCTCAGGCAGGCCTACCACCATATCAAGGGTAAGACTAATCTTCTCTTTCTTCTTTCATAATTCTCTTCCTCATATGTAGACAAGTGACAGTGATGCAATTAAAAGGAAAAGAAGAAAGGAAGCTACCGAACATTGTTCTATGATGTACAAAGGAAACCTGTTGGAAAATATCAGTCAATGCACATTGCAATTTGAAAACAAACTGAGGCTTCAGTAAGTACAGAGACATAATAGTTAAAAGTCAGGGAACCTCTTTTAAATTTTAATTCCATATACAAGGTCTGTCCCAAAAGTATCCGAACTTCAGTTACAAATCAATTTCCCATGTGATATTTATAATTGTTATTATTGATTATTCAAAATACGTCCCTTCCGAAGAAATGCAGGCTTTGCAGCGATCATACAACTTTTGGAAACACCTCTGGTAGTCTTCCTCCGAGATGGCGGAAATAACCTTGGTCGAAGCCTTTTGGATGTCCAAAATCGT